CCTCCTCCTCCTCCTCCTCCTCCTCCTCCTCCTCCTCCTCCTCCTCCTGCCCCTGCCCTCTGACACCACTCGAAAGAGCAAGGCTCGCATGCGCACCTCGCTGAGCAATGCCTGGACCGACCCCTGCACCTCGGCGTGCCGGCTCTGCACGTCCTCGGGCTCTCTCTCTCTCTCTCTCTCTCTCTCTCTTGCTCTCTCTCTTTCTTTGTTCCCTCTGTAATACAGCACGCGTGGCGCTGAGTGAGGCCTCCATTCTCTCCGATGTTCCAATGCCGCTTCCAGTGGCCTTCGTAGAAGGCCTGCGTGATTCAGGCGCGCCTGCCTCCCTTGCAGGGACGCCGTGCCTCCCGGCGATGGCGGATCGTTCGTTATTTCTCTCTCTCTCTCTGTGTCTCCACCATGGCGGCATGTGTGTGCGCGTCCTCGTCTCCTCGACAGCGCAAGCAGCGGGGAAGAAGCGCGGCGGAAGCAAGAAGAAGACACGGTGACTTGGCATTAAACGGAGATTCTTGCAGCTGGCGACTGTGCGCCCGGCGGCGCCGGGCAGGCAAGGGAGCAGAGGCAGAAAGGAAGAACCGGGAGAAGCAGGAAGGGCCGATACCGAGGACACTGCGATGCATTACGCCGAGCATGCATGTATGATGCCGAGTGGAATAGAAGAGCGGCAGACTAGCCAAACGTCAACAGGAGCTCGACGGCGACCGGCTTCGTGTGGCCACGCGTCCTCGGAGATCTGTCAGCCTCTCCCTCGGAGACCCCGAAGGATCGACGCCGGATGCCTTCCCTGGGGGGCCCCGCCCGGCCCAGGGCCTCCCCGAGGCAACTTTTCAGTCGGGCGTGTCCCCCCTACAGGGGGATGTTCAACGAAAAATAAAAAATACACAAAGAATGCTCCAAAAAGGTCCAAAAATAGTCCAAAAATAGTCCCCAGACTATTTCTTGTTTATGTTTGACTATTTTGGGGGTATTTTTCATTGTTCGTCGAAAATCCCCCTGTAGGGGGACAGGCCCGATTTAAGGCACCTTCGAGATCGAGGGTCGCAATCCGCCACCGTGCCTTGGCACATAGCGGAGTGTCCTCAGGCCCCTTCAGGAGCCCCCACGCGGCTACACGCAAGAGTGACCTTAGGCAAGAGTGAGCTTTGGTGCGCGGCTTTTTGGGGGGCCGCGGGCGACCAGGCGCGCCAGACGCCACTTTCGCGCTGCGCTCGGCGATCGGGGGGCCACACTGTGCCCACACCACAGGTCACTCCAGCAAAGGGTCAGCCCTGCGTCCCTACGTCCAGTCGACCCAAAACTTCGAGACGGCAATCAACATTGTGGGCACCGGGCCGGCCGCTCAATTCTATACCCTGGATTCTGGGCGTTCCTGCGCGGGCCTGGGGTGTGACGCGTGGCGTTCAGCCGGGCCTTGGAAGCGTCGCTCGGGCTCCAAAGATCCATCATCGCTGCACTAGTACGACAGGCCCAGAGGGTCCAGCTTGGGGGCCTCTTGGGCCGTCGGGTTCCTTCGGGCTACGAGGCTTGGACACTTCGCGCACATCTTGCTGTGTCGTCCAGTCGGCGCTTCTGGGGCTGAACACCAAACATGGGTTGTAAGAGCGACGGCATCCACGGTAACAACGCAAACACAATGACGCGTTTGAACGCATCCCTCGAAGAAGTTGTGGGAGGGCGGCGTCCGGACGAACCCCGGGGGGTCGGGGGTCGCCTGGGCGAGAACCTGCTCTCGGGCAGGCCGCGTGCGAGGTCCTCCTCACGCCCCTCCTGCTCGTGTGCGCAAGTGTCTGCTCCGTCCGCCACGCAGTGGGTGACGCCAGCGGTACCCGCAACCCCCTGCGTTGGCAGCCCCCTGTCCCCGCAGGGTCCCCTACTTGGGCACCCAGGCAAGTAGTCCTTCTCGCCCTCCCGCATGGACTCCAGCGACGTGCCGATGCTATTCAGCAGGGCGATGACCCCGTTCGGCTGCTTCTGGTCGACGGCCACAAGAACGTCCTTCAGCACGTACTCGCTCACGTGGTAGGCAGAATTCGCGAATCTGGAAATCCGCCGGCCCCCTTGTGGGGCCACCAGGCTGTAGAGCGGAGGTTCGCTGTTTCCTGTACCAGTTGCAGCTTCCAGTTTCCACTATTACAGTTCTGCTTCTTGCTGCTCACTGTTCCTAGTTGACTTCTTGCTGCTTACTGTGCCTTGTTGATGGACCGCGCGAGGGGGGGAGGCCCAAAACGGGCATTTCTACCACGGCCAAATCGTATTGTCTGAACTGCTGGGGTGGGTAAAAATTGCCACCGTCACGCAGATCCGTAGAGTCAGGGTTCAAAAACACAAGAGATTTGCCACATTTCTGAAATTCGGCGGCACCCCTCACGCAGATCGGCGGGGTCAGAGTCCAAAAACACAAGAGATTTGCCACATTTCTAAAATTCGGTGGCACCCCTCACGCAGATCGCCGGGGGCAGGGTCCAAAAACACAAGAGATCTGCTACATTTCTAAAATTCGGTGGCGCCCCTCAGGCAGATCGGCGGGGTCAGGGTGCAAAAACACAAGAGATGTGCCACATTTCTAAAATTCGGTGGCACCCCTCACGCAGATCGGCGGGGTCAGAGTACAAAAACACAAGAGATCTGCCACATTTCTAAAATTCGGTGGCGCCCCCCACGCAGATCGGCGGGGTCAGGGTGCAAAAACACAAAGGATTTGCCACATTTCTGAAATTCGGTGGCACCCCTCACGCAGATCGGCGGGGGAAGGGTCCAAAAACAAATAGGATTTGCCACATTTCTGAGATTCGGCGGCACCCCCCACGCAGATCGGCAGGGTCAGGGTCCAAAAACACAAGAGATTTGCCACATTCCTAAAATTCGGCGGTGCCCCTCACGCAGATCCGTAGGGTCAGGGTTCAAAGACACAAGGGATTTGCTACATTTCTGAAATTCGGTGGCACCCCTCACGCAGATCCGTAGGGTCAGGGTCGAAAAACAAACAAGTCCCGACACTGCTTCACGGCGAAGCCAAAGCCTCATGATTTCGCTTTTCCATGGCCCATCCTCCGAGAGAGGGGGCCGGCGGCAGGGGGCGAAGCCCTTACGGATTACATGTGCCTTGTGCTGAAGCTCGTCCCGGAGGTTTTGGGAGATCTGCTGCATTGTCTCGGCTATGTGCGGGTCCGTGTCCAACAGGACAAGGGAGCCCATGTGCATGTAGAAGACAACTGTGATCTCCATCGACAGCAGTTCCTGCAGACGCCTGAACACCTCCTTCTTCTTGCACTCCACCTCGGAGCCGAGGTTGTGCATCGGCACCACGGGCACCTGCCAGTGAGGGTCATGGGTCGGCGGGCTGGGCGCCACGGCGCAGGAGATCTCGCCGCTGGGCCTGGGGGCGGGCGTCGGCTGCACCCGCACCTGGCGGGAGCGGGAGCAGGACCAGGAGAGGCCGGAATCAGCAAGCACGACCAGCAGTCAAATACTTCACCCCTTCCCCATCTGACTCTAGTCCTCTGGGGGGAAGAGGGGGAGGGGGAGGGGAGCGGACAGCGTGTGCACGCGCAGTAGAGCAGGGCCTCTCTGTCCGAACGCGTGCGCGCATCGGGTGACCAGCTCCTCCTACGCGGATTCCCGCGAGGCAGCGTCAACCGAGTTTTTTGACACTGGAGCACGGGACTGACTCTGTCGTCTGGCTGGGTTGCCTCACCTGGATCGGGACTGGACCTCTGGCTGTGACGAGGACCACCTGGCAGACCTCGGCGGCACCCGCCCGAGAGCCGAGGACGTGCCCGAACCTCTCGCTCGGGGGGGGGGCAGGGGAGCGGGGGGGAGCGAGGCCGCTCGACGCGCGGCTGGCGCCCACTTGAAGACAACTTCACTGGGGCCCTCCTCCTCCTGCTGAGGCTGCTCCTGCTCCTCCTTCTGCTCCCCTCGCTGCTGCTCCTGCTCCTGCTCCTGCTGCTGTGGATGGTCCTTCTCCTTCTCCCATTTTCTCGCGAGGGCAGTGCCACTCAAACCCTGGACGCGCGCTTGGTTACCCTGCTCATCCAGCTCGTCCTCTCTGGTTTCAGCATCACGAACGAGCGCGCAGACCCTCCCATCCTGCCCGTCCGCCTCCTCGTCCCCCTCCCCTCTTCTCTGGTTTCAGCATCCCCTGTGCTGTTCCAAACCATCCCGCTCCTCACCTTACCTCCGCCCTCCTCTTTCTTTCGCAAACCCGGAGCGCGCAGCGCTAGGCCATCTTTCACGTAACAAGATGCCAGTTCCTCCCCTCCCTCCTCTCCCTTCCTCTCCTCCTCTCCCTCTCTCCTCCCTCCTCCTCTTCCTTCCTCCTGCCTTCCGTCTGGTCACCCACCTCACGCTTCGTGCCCCCCGTCCCCCAGAGGAGGCTCCCCACGGAGGGGCGATCTCCTGCAACCCCGCGCGCGCCCGGTGTCGGCACTCCTGGACCCAGACCGTGCCCCTGGGGGAGATCCACCTGTGGCCCCGGCCCTCGAGGTCGAAAAGGTGAGACGGCAACCATCACTGAACAGCTGAAGGGGGAGGAGGAGGAGGAGGAGGAGGAGGAGGAGGAGGAGGAGGAGGAGGAGGAGGAGGAGGAGGAGGAGGAGGAGGAGGAGGGAGGAGGAGGAGGAGGAGGAGAAAGAGGAAGAGGAGGACCAGGAGAAGGAGGAGGGGGGGGAGTGCACATAGCGCTACCGCTCCGATTTCGGCACGCCCATCACACGGATCGTGCCTCACGTAGGGTGCGCCACACGCGGCGCCAGTCAGGGCGCGCCCGCTGGGCGCCGCCACGCCTGGTTCGGCACACCCCTCACGCGGATCGTGCCCCAACGGGGAACTCTGCCGGGCCGAGGCGGAGATTTCGCATTGCGTGTTCCAGCCGACGTCGGCACAGCCCTGTATGGAGCCTCGACTCCATCACCCCCTCCCGCGGCGCGCACGCGATGAGGAGAGGGCCACCCCCTGAGCCTGTATGAGTTCTACAGGGTTGGGCCCTTCGCAACCTGAATTGTCTACGGGCTCGCCATGCAAGTCTAGCCCCTACACAACGCGCGCATAGCATGCGCATCCTCCCCCCTGCTCCTCATGCTGCTCCTCTCCCCTCTCAGTCTTCCTACCCCTCTCGCCGATGGATGCTGGGCCGTGGCCCCAGCACAGGCAGAGCCTCGCTGGCCGTCGGCGCTGCTCGGTACGATGTGAGGCTCGTCGGTCCGTGCTCCACCCTCCCCGCAGCCGTTGCCCAGGGATGCTCGGGACGCTGCAGCTGTCGAGCTGCGGGGCCGTCAGGCTGTCGGCCTGCCTCGCTCTGGCGATACAAAGGTTGCACGTCTGCACGCGTTGCGCCGCCTTGCGGCGCGCACTGCGGTGCAGGCGCCGCCTCGCTGGCACCCAGAGGCACGACTCGTCCGAGAAGTCCTGGCAGGAGTGCTGTCAGAGGGGTGCCCTAAACATCCGAATGATGTGAGGGTGGGCGCAGACGGCGTCCAGAACGTGGCGGTTTTCATGCCAGAATCGGCTGGTTGATGCTGATAATCCTGCCCTCCTCCGCCCTCGTCTTCTCTGGATCCTCCCCCTTCTCCTCCACCACCCCTCCAACCTGTTCGCTTCTCCTGTCTCTTCCTCGGGCCCTACCAGCCCCCAAGCCTCCTCCCCCTCCTCCCTCCTCCTCCTCCTCCCACCTCCTGCTCCTCTTCCTTGCCCCCCTCTCTCCTGCCCGCCCCTCGCCCAAGGAGGAGGAAGGGGCAGAGGAGGAGTGGAGCGAGGCAGGGAGGTGCAGGAGGAGGCCCCCCCCCCTCCGGATCCCCGAGGTCGGCGTGGCCTCGAAGATGGGGCCCTCCTGCCTGGGCGCCAGCGGCATGGCCCGCTCCTCGCCTTGGGCGTCCCGCGGAGTCCAGGCTCGCCTGGTCGGCCACAGCATATAAACCACCAGCAGCAGCTGCACGAGCGCGAGCCACCAGAGGCCAGGCGGGCCGGAGAGCACGAGCCCTGGCCCTCCTCGGGGGTGGGAGGGGGGAGGGGGGCACCCGAGCCACGAGAGGGAGGCCTCGGGCATCTCAGGGTCTGGTGGGGGGGGGTTTTGCTGCGTCCATTGTACTGAAGGACCAAATTCCAGAAACAATGTCGAGCACCCAGAGAAGCATCGAAGCAGTGTCGAACGAGCATCGCCTCCCAGAGCCCGACACGTGGAAACCCACCACTTTGGGTACTTGTCTAAAGCTCGAAAGTCTCCCTTGTGGCCAAGGCTACAGTACGTCGGATCATGATCAGTTTGGGGGCGCACGTCCGACCCTGCCCGGCGACGCCGTCTGGAGGCTCTCGCGGGGAGGGCGCCCGTCCCATCTGGGCACAGCCCACAGGCAGCCGTGTCCACGGCTACCTTGCGTGCCCCGTCCCCCGCCCCCCTGCCCCAATCTCTGCCGCTGGTGTGGTTCTCTCTCGCTCCGTCCCGAGGCAGGAAGCGGCCCAAGGGCAGAGGCCTCGAGCGCCCCCAGGGTTGGACACCCGCGCGCCACGGAGCGGCCCAGGCCCCCCTCCCCCCGCGGGGCAGGTCAGAAAAGTAGCTCCTCCTCCTCCTCCTCCTCCTCCTCCTCCTCCTCCTCCTCCTCCTCCTCCTCAGAGGGGGAGGGGGGAACGGGGTCGCACGCCCTCGAGACGCCTGGCACGCTGCACGAGGCTAGACACCGTTGCACGCCTGCACGCCCAGCACGCTGGCACTCTGCGCAAGAGGCGCCCGGCTCGGCTGGAGAAGCGCGCCCGCCCTTCGGGGATGGACAGACCCCCCGTTAGTAAAACGTGGACCTGGCGGGCGCAAGCTTGGAAAATGACGGCCGCGGCGCCCTGTGGAGAACCGAGAACGGACAATTCACTAATCGACGCGTCAGCGTAGGAGGTCCGTCCAGCCCCGAGCCCTGCTTCTGGGAGGTCGTGGGGCAGCAGAATCTACACCTGCCCGCGGGTCGAGGACGAAGATGTCCCTCGTCAGCTTTCCAGATCAGAGGCCGGGAATTACACTAGGACAATACCGAACTATCCTCGCCTCCTCCTCCTCATCATAATCCTGATGCTGCCCCCTCTTATCATGGCTATTAGAGTATGATTCCCTGTATCTTGTAGATGGCTCATGCTCGTCTGACAGCTAGACGTATCGGTAAGCTGGGCCGGGCGGTTCGCCAGATACTCGCAAAGTCACTACTCGCAAATGGCATGGGTTCCCCGCGGGGGATCTACGATAGAGTACATCAAAGCGGACATGTGTTTTTTCGGACGCTTGCGAGTAGGCGCTTTGCGAGTAGTGGAACGCGCTCGGTGACCCTGGCTCGTCGCCGTAACAAGAGCATGGCCGGCAACTCCTCCTTGAAAAGGGGCCCTCGCCCGAATCGCAGGACCGTGAGGCGCTCGGCTTTCGAGGGGGGCACATCCCGCAGGGCAGAGGAGTGTTGTCGGGACCCGCGGTGAGGGGACGTGGGGCGGGAGGTCGAATTGTAGCATCGCTGGTGCACGCTGTGCTTATTCAAATCCTCTTTTTCTTCGACATTGTGTTTCCCCCCCCTTTTGTCCCTGTCTCTCTCGCTCTCTCTCCCGATCTGTGTGTCGTATAGATGTACACGTACATATCAGGATGAAAGTGTATATCTTATGCATACGAATGGAAAGACATGCATGGGCTCGCGACAAGTTCAGCCCTCCTCCGTTCACGCTGACCACCCGCCCCTTCCCGTCGTCGTGTTCCTTCTCTTCCTCCTCATATTCCTCATGTTCCCCCGTCCTGCTGTTCTTCCTTTCTAGAGGAAGAAGAAAAACGCAAGCATAAACTTTCGACGCTCTGTGCGGATGTCTTGGATCTGCGCTGGCCCCCCACTCCGTGGCGTGCGGAGCGCGCCAGTGGCGGCGCCAGAGACGCCCCCAAGGGGGCCCCAGCGCCAGACCAAGAAACCCGCGCGGAGCTCCAAGAGTTTACGTTCATGCAGTTTGTTCTTCGATAACAGTGCTCCCCTGCAAGTTCTCTCTCTCTCTCTCTCTCTCTCTCCTCCACAGCTCGATTCCTCATACAACCGGAGTCCAGCAGTAAGGATTTGCAATCATGTTCCATCGGCGACGGGCTTGCACAGAGCTTGCTCCCGTGGGATTTTGCAACTGAAGTCTGACTGCAAGGGCTTACACGATGATCTGGTGGAGCGACTGGGGGCAAGGCGGAACTGCAATGGCTCCCACCCTCCCACTGAGCAGGAGGAATACAGATATCGGTCGCCACGAAGACGCACACAATTGCCCCCCCCCGCAATGCACAATACCCTGCGCGTGCAATGTGCATGCGTATTTATGCAGATGCACATATATATAGCCATACATATGTATGTGTACGTGTACATGTGCAAAGAAACAGCAACAACAACAACAACAACAACAACAACAATCATTTTACCCGAACGCTCAGTGTTCTCACCAGTGCCAGGGTTTTCATGCGACGCGAGACAATACCCCCACTTCGTGGGGGGGCAGTTCAAGCTCTACCAAATATCCAAACGACTCTTCGCGACCACCCAAACCCAGCTTCCCGCCCTATGACGTTGGGACACTTCACTTCGTGGCGTGCGGACGACCGTGGCTACTACACTGGCGTGGGGTACACACCCACAGAACTTGGTCACTTATTCGGGGCGCGCGTGTGCCCAGCATCCTGCAATTGTGACATACAATACATGACACAGACAGACAGAGAGAGAGACAGAGAGCAGACAGAGAGAGAGACAGAGAGAGCGGAGTTGGTCACATTTTTGGGGCAAGTTCCTGAGATCGTCGTGTTTTTTGTTGGTCTTGCGCGCGCGAATGTCCACTTTACTTTTTTTTGCAAGGGAGTATTGAAATTTGATTATGTTAGAACAAGAAAAAGTAGCTCGCGCGAGCTCATGTAACATAAATGTTGAAAAACCATTGGTTTTGTGGGAGTCGGACAGCGCGCGCGGGATGAAATTTGGACATTTTTTTTTGAAAAACCATTGGGTTTTTGATGTTTTTATGTTGAAATCGCTACGAAACCTAAGGTTCTGGAAGGATTTCGTCTTGCGCGCGCGAATGTCCACTTTACCTTATTTTTTGCAAGGGATTATTGAAATTTGATTATGTTAGAACAAGAAAAAGTAGCTCGCGCGAGCTCATGTAACATAAATGTTGAAAAACCATTGGTTTTGTGGGATTCGGACAGCGCGCGCGGAAGGACATTTTGACAATTTTTTCTTAAAAAAACCATTGGGTTTTTGATGTTTTTATGTTAAAATCGTTACGAAACCTAAGGTTTTGGAAGGATTTCGTCTTGCGCGCACGAATGTCCACTTTACCTTATTTTTTGCAAGGGATTCTTGCAATTTGATCAAGTAAGAACAAGAATTTTCATTTTATAGTGTTTTTTGCAAGGGAAAACGGATTACAACAAAACAACCGGATCCGGTGACAATCCACTTTTCTGAAGCTTTCGCTAGAAAATGAAGGAAATGAGGCTGCGGCCTAGGTTTTGGAGGGGGGTCGCGCACCAGGGGTCTCAACAATAATATTTCTTTAGAAGTAATAATATTCAACAACAACAACAACACAAAGAACAGCAACAACAACAACAACAACGACAATAACAACAGCAGCAGTAACAACAACAACACAAACAACAACAATGACGACAACAACAACAACAACAACAACACCAACAACAACATCAACAACAAGAGCATCAACAACAACCACACCAATAATTGTAAGACTGTTCGCTCTTACTTGCCCGCGTGTCATTCCAAACGAGTTCCCCACACCCTCGATGCCCGCCCTTTTTGTCTTCGAGGGAAAACGCCAGGAGAGAAGGAGCGAATAGGGGGGCCGCTGATTAGAGGCAGAGAGAGAGAGAAAGACAGATAAGAGAGGTAGAGAAAGAGAGAGGGAGAGAGGGGAGAGAGAGAGAGAGAGAGAGAGAGAAACAAAAAAAAACGAAAGAGGGAGGAGGCAGGAGAGGGGAGGGAGAAGGGAGGAGGGAGAGGAGGAAGAGGGGATAGGGCAGAGAGGCATAAGGATGAGGGAAGAGAGGAAGGAGAGAGAAGGGAGGAGGGAGGAGGGAGAGGGAGGAGGAGCAGGAAGGTAAGAGCGTGAACGTTCGAGGAAGTCCTAGGCGAAAGCACCGTTCCTGAAGGAAGTCTCGGGCGGGAGCCCAAGACGGGCGGGCGATCCCCTGACGGGCGGGTCGGAGGGGTGGGAGATTCAAGCGGGATGCCTGAGTATGGCGAGAGCGCGATTACTAAGTAAATTGTAATGGCGTCCTTGGCGCAGCGTGTTTCCTGAGCGTCGGAGACGCGATTTCTGAAAAAATCATGAAGTCACAGGCGAGAGCGCAATTCCTGAATCAAATGTGAAGGGTTCTCTGGCGGGAGCGGGGGCCTTAATTAAATTGCGAAGAAGTTGATTCAATTCGGGAGCGCCGTTCCTGAGCGAATTGTGAGGAAGTCTCAGATGGGAGCGGGGGTCCTGACTAAATTGCAAGGACGTCACAGGCGGGAGCACCTATCCGGAGTAAATTGTGAGGGAAGTCTCAGGAGCGGGAGTCCTGAGTAAACTTGAAAGAAGTCTCAGGCGCGAGCCGTTGTTGTTGTAATCCGGGGGGCCAGGGGCACAGTTTGAGCACCAAGACTTTCCCTGTCAAAAAACAGGGTGCGAGCGTCGAGGGGCACCCTTTGATTTAGAAAAAACAATATGCACTGGCGAGGGGGGATAAACAATAATTATTCTTCATAAATAAGAGTTCAACAACAACAACAACAACAACAACAACAACAACAACAACAACAACAATCATTTTACCCGAACGCGTGGTGTTCTCCCCAGTGCCAGGGTTTTCATACGACACCAGGCAATACCCCCACTTCGTGGGGGGGCATTACAAGCTCTACCAAATATCCAAACGACTCTTCGCGACCACCCAAACCCAGCTTCCCGCCCTATGACGTTGGGACACTTCACTTCGTGGCGTGCGGACGACCGTGGCTACTACACTGGCGTGGGGTACACACCCACAGAACTTGGTCACTTATTCGGGGCGCGCATGTGCCCAGCATGGTGCAATTGTGCCATACAATACATAATACAGAGAGACGAATGTGTCCCGCATGGTATTATTTGACAGGGATGATGGCCCTGGCAGGTGCGCAACCGTTGTCGCAGAAGTTCGAAAAAGTTGCTCGCAAAAGCCCGTTTGACAGAAATGTTTAAAAAGTGTTGGGTTTCCTACGAATCCGCAAGAGCGCGCGGGATGAGATTTTGACATTTTTTTGTTGAAAAACCATTGGTTTTTTGATGTTTTTATGTTAAAATCGCTCCGAACACTAAGCTTTTGGAAGGATTTCGTCTTGCGCGCGCGAATGTCCACTTTACCTTATTTTTTGCAAGGGATTCTTGAAATTTGATTATATTTGAACAAGAAATTTCATTTTATAGTGTTTTTTGCAAGGGAAAGCGGATTACAACAAAACAACCGGATCTTGATCAACTCGAATTACCTGAGGCTTCCTCACGAAAATGATGAAAACGTGGCTGCGGCCTAGGCGCGGCGGGGGGGGCGCGCACCAGGGGGCCCAACAATAATTATTCTTTAGAATTAATAATGTTCAACAGCAACAACAGCAATAACAACAACAACAACAACAACAACAACAACAACAACAACAACAACACGCTCTCCATTCATCCCTCTTCCTTCTCACTCCCACTCTCCCCCTCCCCCTCTGTCTCCTCCACTTCGCCCTGTTTATCTTCCTCTTCCCTTCTCTCCCCCCCCCCCCTTTCTCCTAACCCATGTCCTCCTCCTCCACCGTCCCCCCCGCCTGCCCCCCCCCCTCATCCCTCTCTTCCCTGGTACTTCTGAGTCCGCTGTCCCTTGCGGTGCCAACACCAACATCGTCGTCTCCACGAGGATCCGCGCGGCGAGTCCTCCGCGTCGGCCTGCGCCCACCGAAGGGCCAAACTCAAACCCATTCAGGCAGCATCCGAGCTGGTCCTACGTGATCCCATACGTAAGAACATGAGGACGATAACGACGCCGGCGACGGCAACGGGTACGACAACCGGTGGGACTTTGAGTTTCCTGCAGTGACGGAGCCACCCCGCCCCCTTCCATGACGACCCCCAACGTGATTCCCCTCCATCCCATGAGGACATGCACGAGTAACCAGAAACGCGCCCTGAGCAGGGACGAGGATGACGCTGAGGGGGATGACAGGAAGGCTGGGATGAAGGAGCAAGGAGGGTGGAGGGGGAGGAGGAGGGAGGAGAAGGGGAGTGGAGGGAGGGAGGGAGGGAGGGATGGAGGAGGGGGGAGAGAGAGAGGGAGGAGAAGAGGGGAGGAGGGGAGGGGAGAAGGGGAAGGGAGGAAGAGATGGAGGAGGACGAGGAGGGAGGATGGTGAAAATGGCATTGCGTGAGACGTGAGGCGCGAGGAGGGTGGGAGGGAGGACAGAGGAGAGATGAGGGAAGAGAAATGAGGAGGGCAAATGAGGACGAGGAGCGATGAGTAGTACGTATGGAGGAAGGACGAGGGGGGATGGAGAAGCGGAGGTAGAAGGAGCGACAGGTGAGGATGATGATGGAGGAATGCCGAGAAGGTACGGGGGGGGGACCAGAGGAAGAGGGAGGTGCGAGGAGAAAGAAAGGGGTGAGCTGAGAGGAAAGACTCCTCCTCCTCCTCCTCCTCCTCCTCCGCCTTCCTCCTCCTCCTCCTCCTCCTCCTCCTCCTCCTCCTTCTCCTCCTCCTCCCCCGTCTCCTCCTCCTCCCCCTCCTCCTCCTCCTCCTCCTCCTCCTCCTCGCTCCTCGCTCCTCGCTCCTCGCTCCATCGCTCCTCCTCCTCCTCCTCCTCCGAGGGATCGGGAAGAGCGGGGAGGGAGGAGGACGAGAGGGGGGGAAGCGCACGAGTGGAGGAAGGAAGGAAGGGGGGGAGAAGAGGTGAGCAGCACCTTCCGCAGCCGAAGCGGCCAGGCCCTCCCCGGGTCGTGCTTTGCTGGCGGAGGTGCCCTGTGCGCCCCGGGGTGCCGCCCCCGGCGTCCGGGGCACTTGGAAGGCCTCGGACGTCCCTTGGACGCCCAAGGCCCTCAAGTGCCCTGACCTTCCAGTGCTAGAAATTAGCCCTCCAACCATAGACCTATCTGGGCTGCCTAGAACCTCGACGGGAATTAAGATATCGAAGTCCTGGTGCTATCTTTTAGCCCTCCTGGAAGGTCAGGGTGGACACGGCCCTTGGACGTCCCTCGGACGTCCAAGGCTTTGGCCTTGGACGGCCCTCGTGGGCCTCGCCTGGACCGGTCCGGGGGGGCCACCACGGCCTCCGCAGAGGCCCTGGGGACGGCCTCGGGCAGGGCCGCATGCAGGAGAACACGACCACGGGATCGGAGGAGGCCGACTGCACTCGGCGAGGCCAGCCTCAGGCTGGGGCCACAGCTCGGCGCACGCAGGACGCCTTCCCAGTGGCGCCCGGAGGTGGTGCACACCGACCGATCCTGTGCACAGTGTCGGCCTGACCAGGCTCTGGGTCGGTGGAAGACCGGTGTCCCCTCGAGAGAGGCGGCCAAGGCAGAGCGACAGTCCCACAGTAGCTGCGGCCTTGCTCGGGCCATCAACCCTTTTGTGAGGCAGAGCACCGCTTCACCAGAAAAGTACCGATTTCGCGCTAGATGTTGGGGAAGCCACAAGGTACCGATAGCGCTAGTCCCCAGACCTCTTCCGGGGTGCGTTCTGACCAGGATTTCGGGGCGAATCCAGCGGTGGCGACGAGGGCCTCTCAGGAGGCATCCCAAAAAGGGAAGCGAGGGAAGGGGGGGCAGTATGGGTACCTTTTCCTCTTCTAGACAAGCGCGCTCCACTACTCGCAGAGTATTTTCTCGCACATGGCCTGAATCCGCCGCGGGGGATCTGCGATCTTCTACATTAGGGCATACACGTGTTTGTTAGGACGTTTTGCGAGTAGGCAATTCTGCGAGTAGTGAAACGCGCTGGGTGATCCTCTGAGATGCGCAATTGAGGAGAACAATTCTCGTGTTGAGAGGAAGGGTTGGAAGGATGCAGCGCGTGAGCAATAGCATCTGTATGCAATGAACGATACCTTCGGCCGCCTACGGGTAAGGATATCCTCCTTCCTCCTGACCCCATCCTCCCAACCCGTCAATTGTGCTCCTGAGTACAGAGGAGGCCAATCCACAAGAAACCTTCCGCAGGAAACCCAACCCTGAGACCCCAGGACGTTCATTGATTCTTGGTGAGGGAACGTCACGCTCTCCATAGCAAAACCGTCGAAACCGAAGAAACCCAGGGCGCCCTGGAGGCAAGCAGGGTGCTTCCTGGCATGGACCTCCACTGCAGCGGAACGCGCTGGGTGATCCTCTGAGATGTGCAGTGACAGACGGACCGACGATGCCTGCAGGGGCAGGGGCGGCGGCGAGAGAAGCCGGGGATGCCTCGTCGGATGATGCCTCTCGTCTCGCTCCCGCCGAGGGCGGGGAGGCCCGACCGCCGGAGGCGCCCGAGGGCGCGCACGAGAAGGACGCCGTCGAGGAGTTGCCGCTGGCCCCGCGCACGCCTCGGGGCACCGCGCAGCACCGCCCCCCCCCCCGAGGGCAACAAACAAGCGCCTTCGGAGTGTTTCGTTGTTTTTCTTGTTGGGGGGGCTCTTGCCTTCGGGTCTCTCTCTCCTCCGCGCCCCCTCCTCCCTCCCTCCCCCCCCTTTTTCCACACGCCCCCCCCTCTCCTTCCCCTCCCCCCCGTCCCCCCCCCTTCCTCTTCTTCCCCGCCCCTTTCCCGCGCACAGCTCCTCCCCCTCCCACCTCCGTCCACGCCAACTCTTCTCCCGTCCCCCCCCTTTCTCCTTCCCCTTCCCCCCCCATTCTCCTCCCCCCCTCTTCTTCCCCGCCCCTTACCCCGCGCACAGCCCCTTCCACTTCCCTCTCCGTCCACACGACCTTTCCCTCCCGTCCTCCCCTCTCTCTTCTGCCAAT